AGTCAAACGTGCCCCAGCACAGCCGGCGTGCGGGGACACCTCCGGTTGGGGCGTGACCGGCCCGGGTGGTGGATTGAGTTAGGCGGGGTGCGAGACCCCCACGTCTTCTGCAGCCCACCGGAGAGCAGGGCCGTCCTCCCCGCGCACCACGTCCCTGGCGTGCTGCCGGCACGCTTTACCACTGGTCGCCCCCAAAACGCTCTGCCCAGTCCTTGGGCTGAAGGCATCTGAGGGGGACCCACCAACGTTACCTCCACCATCTTCTCCCCATCCCTCTCTCAGTGCATCCTCCCTCCTCGGTGGTGCCCAGACCCTGGCTTTCCGGCTTTGCCATGGTTCCCTGAGGCATACTAGGCTTCCCTTCCCTCCAGGGTCCCTCCTGCCCTGGCTTCCCTTCCCTCCAGGGTCTCTCCTGCCCTGGCTTCCCTTCCCTCCAGGGTCTCTCCTGCCCTGGCTTCCCTTCCCTCCAGGGTCCCTCCTGCCCTGGCTTCCCTTCCCTCCAGGGTCCCTCCTGCCCTGCCTCGGCTGCCTTGGGCCTCCATCCCCTCTCCGTGCCTCCTAGCTCAGTGGGGTGCCCCGCAGCCAGGCACCCCGACCGCAGGCGGTTTGGAGACAGAGATCGCCTTCCATGAGGTTTTGTTGGTTTTATTAGTTGATTATTTTTTTAAGGAACAAAATGGACCACTGTGATAATCTCCTCTGACCTCGAGATAACTTCCTATGTGCTCTAAGAGACAGTGTCGTGTCTCTTTATGGCCTCGTTCCCAGATAATGGGGTCAAAGCCCTGCCTGTCTTGGGGGGCCGGCGGGAGGAAAGATGGTGCTGCAGCTGCTGAAGAGGAAGGAAGCCCCGGAAAGGACTCAGCAGGCCTCACGGGCAGGGGCTGGGCAAGCACTTGGCACATGGTGCAGCATGAGCTGTTTGAATTTTAGAGGGAGGTTGGTGCGTGGTGACCTCAGACGAGCAGCGCGGGCCTTTGCGTGGTCTGACTCACGTTTGGGAGGGCTGGCAGTGGCAATCGGTGTGTCCAGCTGCATTAGGCAAGGGCGTGACAAAATAAGTGCACTAATTCCCCAGGCGTGCTGGAAACCTTTGCAAATAGCGTGAGTTTAGCTCGGCCTCATGACTTTGTTTAATTTGTGCTTTTGATTTTGGTTTTTTGTTTTCCTTTGGGCCTGGCAATGTGAAATGAAGCAGCACTTGAAAGCAAAAAACATTTAAAATGGAGAAATAAATTTAAGATGACTGTCTTGAAGAGCCTAACTGGACTGTTGTACAGCCTTATTCCAACTTTCCTGTCTTTCTTTCATGCTCTGCCTTTTCCAAAAGCTCAGTCACAACATGGTCATTTTTATTCTCTTTGTTCTTCCTACATTGGCAACTAGTGCCAACTGAGGTGTTTGGACTGGAACATATGGGCTGTGTCTCTGTAGATGTTTAGCAGAGATCAGATAATCTAAAATGAAGGCTCATCCACTTGTCATTCTTAACGTTTTAGACAAAATCATCCAGGAAAGTCTCATAACATCACTAACACAAAAGGATCTTAAAGTAGGCCCTGAATACATGTACAGGTATCACTTTACCAGCCGCTGAAATACAGCCATCTCCTGGGTGGAAAACAGCAGCTGTTTAGTCCTGTGCAGCAATGCTAGCAAAACAGTAGGCCCAGAGATGAATAATACCATCTGAAAATTCACTTCTGTGCAAAAATATTTCGTCCACTGCTAGGGAAGCTTACTTAGTAGCTACACCTTTGATCCGTTCCTACTGGTTTAAGTGCTTGTATTTGCCAATGAGAGACTGTTTTAAATGTGTGATAGGCTAGACTTTTTAATGTATTGATTATGAAGGTTATTATGTTTTCTATCATTTGAACAGGTTTAGGTTGTTTTCTGTTTGGCCATGGCCAAAATATAGATTAAAAGATAGTACTTGGACTTGTAATAACATGCTCAATAATGTTCAAAAATAATTACAAAAGCCACAAGTTAGCAGCAGAATTAGTAACACATAGTGTATAAAAATTCCTACTGCTGCATTTTATTGAATTATAATTTTTGTTATAATAAAAATCAAATGTAGTAGGTCACATACATAGTGATTTTGTCTCCATTTCATATGGATAATACTAAAATCTCAAAAGAGTTGAAACATGGAACAAATAGTATTTAATTATAAAACAGGTTTTGTGCAGTACTGCATGGGGCTTGACTGATGCTGGAGAACCAGCACACCCACCTTCCCATCCAGAGAGGATTCTAAGCATGGAGACGTTTTCAGTTTGGAAGGAACTGCCACAATTAGCTGTTCTGAATTTGTATTCATGCAGACTGTGTGCATCCTTCAAGTAATTCCCCCCTCAGTTTCAATAACTGTGGTTGAGCTAGGTCAGATCAAGGTAAAAGATCATAGAATCATAGAATCATAGAATGTTTAGGGTTGGAAGGGACCACTAGTGGTCATCCCGCATTCTACTTACATATGAGAAAAAGTTGACTTGTTCAAGATCAGTAATGTTAGCTGACAAGACAGGGCTTCAACTTCCTAGACTACAGACAGTCATCTCAGGTGTATGATATCCCTACAACTGCATTCGGTTTAGGAAGAATGGATAAATGTATGGTACCACTTTACCTTCTTATTACATATAAATACATTTATGCTTTTTGTCTTACCTGTTGGCAGCTTCCACCCTCAGAGCATGGCCAAATAGTGGTAGCACAACTGAGGAGGTGGGGAGCTTTTACAGTGCATCAGCTGCAGATGAAATGAAAACTCATTTGGCAGAATATTCCCTTGAGAAGCTCCCGTCCCTCTTTCCCTGTGCCCAGCTGCTCCTTCTTCCTTTCACCAGAAGCTTCTGACCCCATCAGTTGGGCTGAATGCCAATTAAATTGTACATGTGGCTGGTCTCTAAGTAAGAAGTAAATTTCTGTCAAGGGTATAGAATGAGAATCCTTATTTGTTTCAAATCAAGTACTGTGTATGCTTCCAATGCAAAATTAACGACCCTAATTTAAACCATGAGGAAATGGGAAAGGATATGTTGGATTTGGAGGTAGACAGCTGGAGAAGAAATACAGTAGTGAAAGCAGTTATGAAACAAAAACTGAAGCAATCACAATCACTTCTCCAAATGTGGAAGCCTGAAGTACTTCAGGATACAAGTCCACTAATTACAAATCTCGCAAATATGCCTATACAGCTTTACCTCTGTACTGGCAGGAAATACGAAAATAGATCATCAAGAACCCTAGTTATTAGTCTTCTGGACTTCCTAATGTATCAGCAGTTTAAGTGTTGGTATTTTGATCACTCACCTCTGGAAGAGTTGTTTGGCCATTCTCTTACAGACCAGAAATAACGCAAAGCTTTCTTAGTTCATTGTCCATCTGTCCACAGTGTCTTGTGCTATACCGTCTCTGAGGACTGGCTGTAAAAAATGAGTGCTTTTTACTGTAAGATACAAGACTGACATATTTAGGAGATTAGAGAATTTATAAATAAAAAAATATGGAATCAGCCTAAAATCCCTAGGAGTACATGTTTTTCTTGAGATAACACAAAGTTTAAGTGGGCTCTTGAAGGCTGTTTCTGAAGCATCATTCTTGATAAGAAAACCGATCAATGATAATTATAGCTCTGTGTATCAATCTGTCATCTCTCCTGCAATTTCTTTATATAGGTAACTGTAGAAAACAAGGAGAAAAAAGTGCTTTGTATCTGCTGAGTTAGATAAAATTGCCAGTTTTAAAGCAAAGCAATATTATTATTGTTTAGCCTATGTGTTACATTGAAAAGGTACATGCTGGACTGAAACAAGCTACAGCTAAATGATTAGGATGGTTTGAACTAAGCTAAACTCCGTGGTCTTTTACCTAACCAAAATACATGCAAGTAAGATAGTGTATACCATGACTTTCAACAGTCACATTACGCTCAGATTAAAAGAAATTTTGGGGGCGAAAGCAACAGAAGCTTTGTTTTTATCAAGTCAAAGTACCTAATACCTGCCCTTAGGTTTAGTTCATGTAACTTAGCGGTTTTATGCCAGTGACTAGAAAAAATAGAAAAAACAATGCGGCACTTCTCTCTAAGGCAGATGATCTGCTTTAAGGAAAAGTAATTTCCTTGTAACTGCGTTCTAAGCCTTACATTGATTTGCTCTGCACAGTATCCAACTGCGACATTTAATAAATAATGCAATCACAGAATTGCATATACTGATAAATGGAAAAACAGATTACCTGACTATGTAAGAACAAGAAAGACACAGAGTCATAGGGTAGAAACTGGAAAAAAAAAAAAACCCACGAGTTTTTTCAAGATGTTTCTTTAGCTTAATAATTACTTGTGAATGTCTTGTATTCTCCTGTGTAATCTAAGAATTAGCCTATCAGCTTGGTTATTTGTAATAGTAAGTAATACCCTCTAGTGGTATTTATAGGAAAAGAAGCCAGATGAAGAATGATCACCTTTTTTTTTTATCGTGAAGGAGACTAAATAACATTTTCACTTGTATGACATAGGGTATCACTTGTCTGTCGAGAAGTGCTAGTTAAAATGGAAAATGCACTGCATGTGTCTGGGTTTAGTTAGAACAGCTGGGTCTAGAACATGACCTGGACCACTAGAAATCTTGAATCCCTTGTTGTCTGCAGACAAAACAAATTGCCACTGCAACACTTGCAGTCTGGAAGGAGTGGTTCTAGTCATATCCAGGTCAGAGATCTGTCCTTACAGCTGAGGGCTACATTAATTCCTGCACATCAGGCAAAACAGGAATACTTGTCAGTCTCCGATATTGCGGTGTAATAAAGTCTGTATTTCCAGACTCCATGTGCAGTTCAAAGTTCATTATCAAAAAACAATTTTCTGAAGAAGCTCATAATCAGTTTCCTGCAGTTACCAGGTCTTTTATTTGCCAACTAACAAAGGGTCAGAGATTGAGGTGAAAACTGACAGTGCTGGAGAAAAAAAAATCCAACAAACGCCCCTCTTACCTAGAAAAAGCTGTTGAGCTTATAGTAGAATTGTGCAAATACTCTTGAATCTTTTCCAGAAGCCCAGTCTACTAATGTAGAGTCATCTAGGTCCATTTTGAAATCATCTTTGCTTCCATAAATAAAATACCCCTAAGTAATGGTAATATACAGGAACTACTTCTATTTCTCTAAAGTATCACGTCAATGTGCTGTATTTGTCATGATGTGATGATACTTGACTAGTACCCTTATCATTCTGGTTGTCACTTTGGTTTTGCCATTCTCCTGCAACCCCATTATTGCTACAAGATTTAAAAGCTTTTGGTAGTTTGCCATGATCTGCTGGTGGCACTGATTACTTCTCACCCCTCCAAGAGGAAGAATCCCATACTATTCAGGTATCACACTGGTTCAGACTTTAAATCAGCTTCTAAACTAACATTAAGCAAGATAGTAGACAGAAGCCAATTATTTTAAGGCCTCATGAAGGAAGGATTACTATGTCTTATCTTTCTGAGCTGTAGTAATACTGTATTATGCTCCTGGCATTAGTTCAGCTACTGCAGGGTCTTGGACCAGTGTAATCTTCAATACCTCTAGTTATCTCCTTATTACTTTTTTTCTTATGCTGTGGCAAACTAATCTCTGGTCTCTTTATCCTCTTCTAAGGCATATAACAAAAGAATGGAAAAAGTTGCCCACTCCCAAGCTGGTGTAACTTCACTGATACTAATGTAGTACTATAGGATCTAATTAAGCTCACTAACTTTCAGGCTCCACGTCACGGTTAATAAAACTGAGACAGTAGTTAAAAAGAAAAAAAGTTCTGACAAGGATTTATTAATTTATGCTTGTGAACAAATGTGTCTGACAGTTGAGAGATGAGATTGCCATACTCTGTACAGAGAGTTTTTTCTAGAAATCATCTTTCCACTGCGTTGACAGAACTTGCGGTATAGAAGTTCAGGAGTGGGTGTCAGTTCACAGACTCTAACCCAGTTACAAAGATGGCTGCATGCCCAGATGAGATGAAGGTTCAGACTTTCTTGCTACTGTTCCTGTTTCTGTATGTTCCATCTTGCTGAAAAACCAATCAAGCTGTCTGACACCTGGCTCAGGAGGGAGACACTAGGTGTTACCTTCCTGTGTTAAGCTGGCTAGGAAGTTTTATTACAAAAAGGAAAAAAAAAAAATCTCAAAAAGCTATTTCAAGCTAAAAGCTGGAAGGAAAGAAGCTAGTCAAGCTGAGCCTTCTGTGCCTTTTTTTTCTGTCCATGCTCAAGGTTGAGAAAAGTCTCCTTCAAAGGAAAAGAACCTCTATACTTCAACTGGGAGAAAATGGCAGTTCTGTGGTTACTTTAAAAATGCTGCTTTCTGGCAGGCGGGCAGATACTCACTGCAAGTGGCATTTTGTGCAGAACACGTGCAGATGGGCAGATATTGACCGTGAATGGCATTTTGTGCAGAACACTTATTTTTCAAACCTTTAAATACTTATTTATGTATATAAGAAAGACATACAAAATCTCTAAGTATTTCCTCCAAGCCTTAATTTCCTCATCCACTGGCAAAAAATAAATATTAAAGTTTTCTAATCTTCACTTGAATTGTCAAATTCCTCCCAGTCTGATACGCTCATAACTTCTGAGGGAAAGTCAAGGTGATACTTCACACGGTCTGCATGCCATTCTGAGAACCATTTCTCTGTTTCCATTAAAATAGCCCTTGGCAAAGTGAGGACACAGGCAGCCATCCCAGAAATATCATCCTCCAGCTGGGGTCCTTCCTCCCAACAGTCTCTCTCTGCATCGTAAATGTGGACATAGTCCATGCGGATTCCTCTGTTGTGGGATCTGCCTCCCAGGACATAGATCCTGTTGTCTAAGACCGCAATGCCTGGCTCTCCATGTCCTGCAGGAAGCGGACATACATTTGTCCACTGATTAGTGCTTGGCCTATAGCAGACAACCTGGAAAAAAAAGGAAGAGATTAGCCAAAATTGAACATGTATCTTAGTGACAGAGCCTGGCCATATGGCAAACTATTTAGGAAGCCATGTGATATCATCAGTCTTTTGACAGGGTGTTAATAATGGAGAAAGCATATCACTATGTAGTAGAAGTACAGTACTCAGCAGAAAACTGCGTAGTTGCCATACAGTTTTGAATCACAACTTCTGACCCTGCTGCTGGAGTAACAGCTGTATGTCATTCAAAAATGTATACAGAAGTGAAAGAGATGGGGACACATGCTAATAGAAGCTCAGACATAATGCATCTGTTTGCATTAGGAAAAAATGCGCTGGAACATACAAATATGACAGATCTACTGAACTGTCTCTGCACCATATGTTGTGAAGTTTTAGATTCATTGGGTACCTACTTGACTAACTGCTTTTGTCTGTAAGCACCTTTTTATCATTCAGATACACTTTTCAGCTAGATTTAATTCTGCACATCTTCACTGGCTTTATAAGAGCAGTTACTTTTTGTGTCTTCTTTTCATGTCTCTAGCAGTTCTAGAAGCTGGAATAAAACTCAAGAGAATTCTCTCCAGCCATCACTTATCATCAGCTACTGTACATTTAATTGCATTATACAATTGCCATCCAATAGATCCTTAACAACTCTGTCCCGCAAATACACATTGGCAATTCAAAAGTCCTCGACTTAGAAAAAAATGCATGTGAGAAGACGTAAATTTAATTGATGTGCTACTTATTTGGTATGTGCATGCCAATGAATGTTACCCACCAAAGATGTTTTAAAATTGATAAGAATTCCAAATGCTAGAGCTTTAGTGCTTTGTGGGTTAGACAATGCATTCAAGACAGACAGCAGTAAATAAATTATTGCAAGTTCTGCAATTGAGTGGGGAGAGCTGGTGCAGTAGCTGTTGCTGGGCAGTTTTATTTGCATACTTAGTAAGAGAAAGACATTACATCAGAGTGCCAGATCCATGAGAAACAGACTCTTTCAAGAAAGACACAGGTATGACATGCTCTCACCTGGTGAACATCCCTTCTGTAGCCAGAATCATTGTTACTTCCTCCAATTACATAGAGCTTTCCTAGCAGAGCAGCCATCCCATGCCAAGCACGTCTCACTGGGCCATCTGCTAAAACGTCCCAGCGGTCAGTCTTTGGGTCATAACACTGTAGCTCCTTCAAATAGTCTTCTCCTCTCCTCCCACAAGTAATATACATCTTTCCATCCAGTGCTGCTCCGGCATGTGCATATACCTGTATCACCACATGGGAAAGCAAGAGGTTGGGGTCTGGATTTAGGTATTCCTCCCAGTTTCAAAGTATGGAATAGGCAGTAAAGGAGTGACATTCTTCATGAGTTATGCAGATATCAACATCTGGAAGGATTTTCTTATAGACAATTCCTTTCTAGGTGACTATGCTATAAATGTGAATTTCTGAATGAAATACACTATGATTTCTAAAACTTCCAGAACTGCAATGGGTTCTCATTCTTTATTGTTCCTTGATTAGAAGATATACTACTGCTTTTCTCCCTAGTCTACTTGGAAGCCTTTCTGTTGGAGGTTTTTCTTACACAAGCAGTGTTATCAGGAATGCAAGATACCCTCCTTAGTAGCACTCTATTGGACCTTAAGGCTTTTTATGTTCTCAGCATTGACACACATACATTATTCGTGACCTCATGCAAGGTGTTTATCCTCTTCTGCCTCTGCATCCCTTTTGTAAAATGGCAGTAATATTTACATTTTTAAGGTGTCCTGAGATTCTCAATTGAGAGGCATTATGAAATCACAAATATTATTTCATGCTGGTCACTTGACCCACAGCTTTTAAAAGGTGTAGTAGAAATCAGCACAGTTTCTTGAAAGATTACTCAGGATTTTAGTTTTCTTCACTAAAACCAAGATTTATCAAGCAGTTGTTTGTATTTATCTTCCTCCTTTGCAACACTTCTAACTTGAAAATGGAAATTCTTGCCTTTTTTAGCAGTATTAGAACTTAGAACAAACTTTTTCACTCATAACCCCAATTCCCATGTCACTACAGCATTTCCTCGTTCCTGGGGTCACGACTGCTAGTTTGGCAATTGCTGTTCTAGAAGGATAAATGGTACTGATGACAAAAGATAACTATTCACTCACGTATTTCAAATGAGTAATGGTCTTACGTTAGCTGACTGCGATGTGATTCTGCATCACATAACTTCTTACCCAACCTCAGTTCTTTGTCCAGGAACTAAGTAGTCTATAGAAACTGATGTACTTTCTTACTGGGGCATTATCTCTTCTGATCAGGAGTAAAGCATGTTGTCCGGACTATAAGTGAGAACATTGTACTACTGTGGCTCACAGTTTACCTGCCTAGGAGGAATGGCAACTTCCTGTTCCCAGAGGCTACGTGTTAAATTTTAAATGGTTTTAAGCATTAACACAATAAAGGTGCAGGGGGAAACAACAAGAAAACAGGAACATTAAGCATTTAACCTCAAAATGTAGTTTACATATATTATTATTCTCCTTTCTTGCTATTCATTTATCCCATATACAGAGGCTACTGTTTCCCACCTAAGTATCAGCAAATTTAAAGCTACACATCAGAAAAGCAACTAAAAAGATTAAATCGGGATTTGGGGAACTGTAGTAGTGTGTGTGGCTAATGCACTCCTTACCTCCTTCTTCAGAGGTGTCACATATTCCCAAGTGTTGCTTTTAGGGTCATACCTCTCCACTTCCCTCAGGTCTTCATGGTAATCTCGGCCTGCGACAGCATATATGTAGTTGTCCACAACACAAACACTGAGGTCAGCGTGCTCTTGCTGTAGGGACTGGATCTGGAACCATTTGTTGTGTCGTGGGTCATACCTTGTAAAAGAATGGGATCAAAGAGAGTTATTCATGCAGCCACAGATTCATTGCTGGAATACCAGACAGCACCACAGATGTGGGTTACTGTACTGTCTTTGGCTGAAATTGAGCTCAGCTGTAAGTGGAGTGAAATTAGGCCTTGTCAGCATTTTATTATTAGCAAAGTTGCTTTATTCTATTTTTAGAAGATGTATTTTAGCTGACATAATCATACTATAAAAGCCTAGATTTTCCATTATCTTATATACTGCTGTCAGGTTATATATCAAAATCTCTGCTTGCATAAAGCCATTCTACAAGGTAAACCAGTCTAAAAATAGCACAAAGACTGAATCTGGATCTTCAAGAGTCCAAGAAGGGCATAAATATGTGGTGGGTTCTTTGATTCTTTTCCCCAAATATCTGCTGCTCAAAGTGAACCTCATGATTCACTTTCAGATCAAGAGTATCTATCTGGTCTGGAAATTTTAGTTACAGAGAAAACTGGTTGTGAAGTGAAGCTATGCTTGCCGTAAAGTAAGGGCAACTCAGCTGAAACTAGTAAAAACGACTGCAATATAAAGACAGAAGGGTTTATTTCTGTTTCTGCAATGTAATAGGCATGAACGTCTAAACTTGATCCTTCCTCCTGCTCTTTTCCCTGGCACAGAATAATATAAGAGGATCCTGGAATGCTGCTATTGTGCACACAAGTTCTTGAAAATCAACCAGCAATAGCATTTTATTTAAAAACCCTTTCTGGTAGGTAAATCCCTTTGTATTGGGACCAAAACTACACACAGAGGACTTCTAGAAAATCCTAGCTCAAGAGAGTCTAGATAATCTAGGGTTCTAGGTTCATTACTGCTTCCCACATCTTTAATACTTCCCCCTCCAACAAGGCAGAAAGTAACATATGTAATACTCTTGAATGAGTAGCTGTTTCTACCCTATCAGGCTTGGCTTTGTCCCATAAGCACTGCTGGAAGCTTCCTGTTACTATGAGGCTCATTTCTTTATTTCTTGTGTTTTCTTTCAGTGAGGCCCCTGCTCAGTTCCTAATCTTTTGGCTAGCAAGTGTGCAGACTGCGCTACTGGCTTACTGACTCAGAGATGGGCAACAAGGTGGTAAAAAAAATAATAGCAGGATTATCCTTATCTTACCTCCAACACCTTGACTCTGCTCGAAAACCACTTACATTGTTGTCTCCGCCAATTAAATATACAAAATTATTGAGAACAGCAATCCCTTGGTTGGACATTCTGGGGGCTAGTGCAGCTGTAAAGTGCCTCCATTCTCCCAACAAGGGGTTCAGATACTTGGCTTGATCACTGAGAACAATGGAGGGAGTAGAATGCATCCCTCCAAATCCCACTACACACTGGAACTCTGATCTCAGCTGTGTTTGGGAGCTCTGAAGCATTGGCTGAAGACATTCATTCTTGTGGTACATTAATGCGTCTGCAACAGTATCTTTTAAAGGACATGGACTTAATTTGTCATGAAGCCTTTGCAGGATCTGGGGTTCCATCAGAGGAAAACGAACTGTCTCAAGTAACTTAAGGGGCTCCATCAGAGAGACCTGATCTGTCTCCAGTTGCTCTGGAGAATAATGATAAAAAAGTGCTCCATCATAAACTTCAAACTCATAGTTAACCTCCAAACGGTTGCTGCTGAGAAGGGAGTAGACCTTCTGCAAGGGTAGCTGTCGATACACTTGTGTCCTTGAGAAAGCTGCAAAGTTCTTCAAAATGTAGGAGTCCAGCTGATCACTCAAATGCCTCAAGTCATAATGGTCAGCTAGTCTGTATACGTCGAGGATGTTCTCTTCATCTACCCAGGACATGAGAAAATCACAACAGAACTTAATGACTTCTGGAATCTGCAAGAGAGAGATATTTTTCATTTCAGATACCACTTGCCTCACACTAAAGAGAGGTGACAGAAGCCTGGGATGACTGTAAGAAAGTTGTCCACAAGACGACTGCTCTCCTCACAGTCTGATCACCATGTTCACTTGCACCCAATTCACCTTTCTCCAGGGAAACTCAACATGGGTACACAGATGAATATAATAGATCTTCTAGCCACAGTATACTGCAAGCCCATGAGTTTGGCTTCAGGTGCAGCAGCAGCAATGTGTCTTCCAAGACACATGGGACACTGGACAGCCAGGCTACCTGGTTTGTTAGCGTGGCACCAAGTTGCAGGCTGCCTGGGAGGCAGTCATGAAAATGGAAGGCATGGAGGACATGGTTAAACCCAGGTTTGCAGTCACTCTGTAATTGTTCTTTCAGAGCACTATAGATGTACTGTATCAAAGACTGTATCTGTAACAAATATATCTGCATCACTCAAGAGCACAGGAAGCCATTTGAAAGGAAAATTAATATTTAGTGTTGCCTTCTGAATACAATTTGAAGTTGTGTCTGGCAGGAGGGACTACTGAAGAATCAACTGCTGTCCAAGAGCCTGCTAACAAAGTGGTGCTAAGTGTGTAGAAACCAACCAAAGCAAGCACTCAGAAAGTTTAAGATTTAGTACCAAAGCCTTCTGCAGCGGTTACCTGCAGGGGAAATTAGAGGAAAAAACCCTTGTCTTAAAGGCACATGAACTCTGCACTTAATGCAGAAACCATAGTGATAGGATTTCCTGTAGTGAAGGGGTCAAGGGAGGTCATGTGCCTGTGGACTCAATCTGAGAAAGATCTTGAGCAGCACAAAAATTTCTGAGCAGCAAGCCCTGTCCTTTACCATAGGCCAGAGATATTCTATTTCAGGGAAGCTTTCATAAGCAGATCAGTGGAAGTGAGTGCTATATAAAATAGTCCTCTAGATGAAATGGTGAATGTTTATAAGGAATAAAACCGTTGGCACAAATGCGATTTGCAAGTACTCATACATTATGTCTACCCTTCCATAGCTAGTTCCAGTGGATACAGCATCCCAAAGAAATTCTTCTCATGAGACCCACGCTCTTATTCACCCCCTAACGCTCCATCTAACCAGATATCCACGTTTTCTGTTTCTTTCATGGTTGCTTTTGTTTCTTGCTTCTTTTTTGTCACATCTCCCAGTACCTCACCTGAAGCTGACAGGCTGCAGCTAAGGTTTCCTGTACACTGTTCACACTGAGTTCCAGCTCAGAAGTGTAAATGAAGTTCAAGATTTTACACATTGCATTGTAGGAGATGCCATGAATATGAACTTCTTCTTGTTCCATCTCTCTCAGTCCTCCTGCAAACATTCCTCTGTAAAAAAGACAACGGCACATGCTATGGCAGATTTGCATTGAAGCTATTTTCAGTTTGCTTATCTTATGTTGTCCTGGGAACATAAAAAATATTCGGAAAGATAAAAACCTAGCCAGACACTTTTATGGGATTACCTCCTCTCTAAGCCAATGACACAAAGAGTACAGGCCTTTAGGACCTAAGAAACTAATACTCTTCATTCTGCAGGAAAACAGTAGAGGCCATCTGAAAGGTACGATTCAAAGCTGAAGGACTTAAATACAGACCCAGTGCATATGGATAGTCGGTGGGCAGAAGCAGATACTCTGGGTGTGGGGGAAGAGGGAAAACAGAGGAACTTGGGACTGTAGGAATTTTTGCTACACTAGAGCAGTTCTTCCACCAGTTAGAAGTTTGTCTGGATTGCGTTGGGATTTGTTTGTTTGCTCTATGAAAATAAAGTCAGTTTAAGAAACTGCTAGTCAAATTGACCAGGGGACCGCCTGATTTAATGGAGAGTGAGTCACACTATAGGCACATAACAGAGGAGTGACCCACTTCCAGTGACTTTTTATGTATTATGAAATGGTCACCACAATGGGCAAAGTCTTACAATGCTAAGGATATGTTAAAAGCCGCCCAGAAGACACCTGTTCAGATAGTCTCTCCTCTTTATATACCTCCAAGTACCACAGGCAGTGAATTTAGTGGAGGTAAGCTCAGTGTGCAGGAACAAGAGCTTTATTTCTGTAGAGAAATAACAGTGAGATGAATAAAGCCATATTTAGTAACTATTTTGAAACACATTCAGTTCCATCTTACGGGTCTAATCTTACATCCAGAAGCAGTGTGCCAAGACAGAAGATTTGGATGTTGCAGGTTTGAGTAACATTCAGACACATGCTTGTTACTGCTGTACTGAAGTGTACCTGAAATAGTCACAGGACGCAGCTAGGAGTATGCGATGAGCCTCAATAGGTTTCTCTTCCACTACCAGAACTACATCGAAGAGGATGTTGCTGTCTCGGAGAGATACCAAGCCACTGAGCAAGGCCTGAGAGTGCTCTGCACTGCGGTATGTGTTGCTGGTGCGCTGCTGAAGGGAGGGCTCGAGTTGAGCTTTGTGTGGCTGAGTCAGCTCCTGATCCTCCGCCATCCCAGGCAGAAATGCACAGCCACCAGCTGTAGCAGAATGAAATCTGTGAGACAACAGAATCAGCAAAGGTTTGTGCCTTTTGCTTTACAAATGGTCCTCTGACCCCCGCCTGTCACAGAAAATAAATCAAACCCGACTCTTCAGTCAATGGAGAGACAGTTCGACCATGAAGAAATTATTCTGAGTGATGATACTGGAAATAGACAGGTGTATATCAGCACATCAAACTGGCAGAACATAGTTTTTCAAACAAGTATTCTGACTCTTGGGTTTTCAGTCCAAGAGTCAGAGTATTGTAGCATGTGGGGATTTTTTTTTTTTCTTAGCAGGAGTTTCACTTCCCAACCCATTACCAGAACCCCTTGTTTCCTTTGCATTTCTGCATAATTTATAACAAAGAACCAAACTGACATATTTTTTGCCAAATTCCAAGTTGCCTAATATCCTCAGATAACTTTGCTGCAATATAAACTGCACCTTCGCTCTATCTTGATATTTTACCCCAGAATCTGAAAGCTCTCCTCTCTCCCTGTCTTTGCTTTTTAATTTTCCTTAGCTGAGCACACTTCCATCTATCATTCTGTAAAATGCTATATGAAACTGTAGGCTTCAAAGTGAGTTTCTTTATTGCAACGACTTCAAGGTAGCATGCGCAACTGCTTTTCATTTCACCACGATTCCCTGCAGAGAGAGGGCATTTCCTCCGGCGTAGGCACTGCAGAGGGCTATCCTGTACCTTGTTCTAGGACTGCCATTGGAAGGTCCCCTATGGCACACGGGGAAACACCTGTAACAAGCTAGCTGGAAGTGATTGTTTCATGTCTATGGTTAAGCTCTCAAAATCTCATGAGTCCTCTTCTACCATCCTGTAATTTACCCTTTCCATTGTATTTGAAGAATGTCAGAAGTTGTAGTGGTTAAAGCTCTTAGGCTCTATCCAGTTGTCAGAACACATTAAAAAAAACCAAAAACATATTAGCAAAAGGAAGTAACTTAGCTGATAGGACTGCTTAAGACCCAGCTATCATAGCCTCTCCTCCAGTGGCCTGGGAAATAGTTTAGTGGCACAAAGGATAGTCACAAGGGGTTATCAGCAGTCAGGGAAGCAAAAGCAGAACAAACCCAGCAAATCCAAACAAACAATGAAGAAATGGAACCATTTAATTGTGCCAGCTATAGACAGAGAATGCAGCATTGGATATCTCTCAAAGTACTGCAGGGTATTCTGTGTATGGACAGTGAAGAAGCAGCTATCTGGATGATGCCAAGAAATATGAAAATATTTCTTGTTCTGCCTGAGGGAAGTTACCTTACACTGTCCAAACCAAAAGGAAGCTAGGTGGCATTGCATGGTGAAGGCGATGGCAAAAAAAACCTGAAAAAGCATATTAATTGTTGTCTGCTCTTTTCCAGCAAAACCAAGACAGCCAGCTCAGAAGAGGAGCTCTGATGAGACAGCCTTCTAGGGAGCACATTCAGGTCGATCATACAGGGAAACTATCCATCATCAGCTGAAGAGATGAGTAATGGATTATTTTTCATGACAGGTAGATGCTTTTACTAGAAATGACTGCTTCTGAAGCAGACAAAACATTACTGTATTGATTTGCTCCTGGGGAATACTAAAAGTGATGGATTGAGGCAAGGGAGATAATATAGTAAGAAAGGCACGGGAAGGAGGAGTGTTACTAGATGTTGATCAGAAATTTCCCATTTCACTAGAAGTGAGTAAATGCAGCAAAACCAAAGTAGGGTGAGATATGGTCCAAATGAGGAACAGATTCAGATAAACCACATTAACTATGTTAATGTGGTTTAATGTGGTTAACACTCCAGAGTTAATGTGGTTAGTGCTCCAAAAAAGGTTGCATCTTTTCAGCTACTTAGAGAGCTATGAGAGTAAAATCATTGCATCAAAAAGCAGAAGTAAATGTAACAAATGAACTATTTTCAACTTTGAACTGAATTCAAAGACCTTTTCTGGGTAGGACAAACAGCATGACCTTTGATGCAAGCTTATAGCATGTCATGTAGTGTAGCCATTGGTGGAAGAGAGGCTAGGGAGAAGTGGGATATATTAAACTACACAGGCCACTGAAACTGTGCAACAAGTTTTAGCAAAGAAATGTATTGTAGAAGTGGCTGAGAGAGAGATACATGCAGTGGGAGACCTGTATAATCATGCCAAGCCTTTATTTAAATCAAACGTTAATTAATATAACTGTAGACAGTTACTATTCAGAATACATTCTATATCCAAATAATCTTAAAATGGAACAGAAAGGGGATGAAGCTTTCAGCAAGTAAAGCCCTAGAAGGGATCCTGTCTTACAAATATGGTAACTGGAACCAGGAAGATCAAACAGTATAATGAAAGAGAGTAAATAAAAAAAAAAGAAAAGAAATAATTCAGGGATTCTGAAGCCTGTATGAACATTAGTATCTGCAGAGCTGTCAGTGACAAATGGGGCTGTCTTGGAGATCTGCAGGGAGTTTATCGCACTGCTAGTTCTACGAGACATGGACTTGAATTACCCCACAACTGTCAGCAATAGCTGAACAAACCAGCCCTTCTAGCAGACCGGTGGAAAGCTCAGTGTGGTCAAACGTAGGTGCTGGGAGTGCAGCTGAACCATCCTCCAGAGCTGATTTTTGGCTAGTCAACAGCTGAGCCAACAGGTATTTTGCTACACTCTGTTTTCTGAATTTTGGCAGTCCCTACTTGTTCTCAACTTCTGCCCCTGAATTGTATTTTGGCTGTCACTGCTGAGCTGGACTGTCTTCAGGCTGGTCACTCATGCATGCACACCAACACAAGAGCTGCCTTGTGAGTTTAGAGCACAGAGCCACTATGGTACGGAAATTCACCACTCTATAGTTACCTGTGAGTATTTTGCCATCCAGAGTTACTTGCTGCTAACCAGTTTTGGGTGTATAGGTTGAATACAGAAGCTTCTGTGGAAAAATGGTGGAATACCACTGAGCAGGTACAATGCATGTGGTCTAAAACTTGCCAGCACTTATAAGCTCTTTCTGTATATGGATACATGAAGTTTCTTAATTACACTGAATCTATATCTTGTCATGTGTATCTCCCTCATCTCCTAAAGGCTCATAAATAAGCATGAATGCCTATTGTCATAGTTTTAACCAGTAGTAACACACTACTCCAGAAAAATTCTCACTCCTACAATTTTTATGAATGGTTGCCTACTTATAAAATTAGAAGTGAGTATTTAAGGTATTAATTCAAGATATCTGACTGACATAGGTGGTTAAGTCCTCTTCTTTGAACCAAAAGCCAAGGAAAGCCTCTTAACTTGTGCCTAGGTAGTCTTAGGAGCTGGTAGACAACACCTTTAGGACAAGAAATGCTTGTGAGGGGTAGCCAGCAAGATTCACTTAGCTGATTAGTGAGAGCCCTCACCTTTGTAATAGCTGTACAAAGAGCAGCTGGAGTTGAGTGGTTAGGAAGTTACAAAGAGTGGTTGTTGGAGCAGGGTTAGTGGGGTTGTGTTGTGTGCTTCTTTGAAAGGAAAGGTGGGTGATTTTGCAATCAAGTTTCCTGGATCAAATGCAGTATACTTGGTGAGCTGATAGTTCAGTGTATTTCTCTGAATATTGTTCTAAATGCTGACTACAAATTTGCTGGGGAGGGATATTGGTGTTGGCACATAACCTTGCTTCTCAGGCTGTGTGGCCTAATTATGACCTTTCTGCTGTGTGCTTTGCGCCTTTGTTACTGTCTAAAAATCTGGCACCCCAAAGAGTGGAAGTATGCTATTTCATGTATGGTGTACCAGCTGGGTGTATGGGAATGACTGTCAATGTATCTAGGAATTGTTATGCCTTTTAAGTGTCCATCAGTCTTAAAAATAGCAAGTAACTTTACTGAATAACCTCTGTATATTTTTAGCTGAAAATAATCTAACCTCATCTCCTCAAACTTGTACTTTACTTAACCTTTATTGTTCTTTAAAAAAAGAAAGCTAAATGTAGTACAAGCAGTACAGCTCTGAATGGAGGGACAGAACAGGTTTGTACAGCTCCTCACATGCTGCAAAAAACCTTCTATTTACTGTTTTTCCTTCCTGAACAGTCATGAACTTTTCTGGCTTTTAGGGCTTGAGACACTATTTTCACAGGCTGGCATATGTGTCCCTGAAAATGAAGGCGCTGTAGGTAGGCCCTTGCTAGCTAATGTAAATGCACAGGCCCTTGAACCATGAAGTTAAGTTCCCTCTACCCTGAGGCTCTCTACCAGGAGGGGGCTTGAAGGATGTTCCTGAGGCCTCTGTTCTCTTCTGTTATTGAGAAACTTGCTCTATGACTGAGCCAAGTTCCTAGAAACCTGAGTAATAATTTTTTGTTGTTGTTTCTTCTTGTGCAAGTTTCTCAGTGCCACTCTGCTGTTAATAGTGGGATTCAGTGGCTGAGTATTGCAGGACTGACCCTAAAATGGAAGAGATGAGGAACTCTTTCTGTTCACTGTGCTTCTTTAACAGTAGCAAAGGTAAAAAGTACAGTCTTAAGTGCTGGATGCTGTCTACAGGAACAAGGGAAGGCAAGTCCTTGTTCTAACCACTTTGAAACTGCAGAAAAAATCAAGACGAGATTTTTCTTAGCTGGCTGCATAAGGTATTTGAGATTGCAGCTATGTTGGTTTGCATTTGTCTTTTAGGGGACATGGATTAATGTAGTAATTAATTTGGGGTATGACAATTGAGCACCCAGTACATAAAGAGGAAGGAGGCATGTAAGGTCAGTAACGTATGCACATTTCTATAGCAATGCTAATGTAGGAAGACACGCACTGTTTGGTCACTTCAAATCAAGGAGTTAAAAATCCAACATAAAAAAAATTCCCCATAAATGGCAAAACCCTCAGAGATGCACAGAATGACATCACTGCTCTTTCCAATAGAATGAAATTTTTCCATTTAGGAACCAGGAGAAAGCAGCCATGCCTTGCAAGGGTAGACATGGAGGGAGTGTGAAGGAAATCTACTATTTCCTTCTATTTCCTGTACTATATTCAAAGTTCACTGTATTGCTGGTGGTCTCTTGTAATAAGCTATGGACACAGTGGAAGCTACAGTGTCTCAGTAGCTTGCTGATAGCTCTGTGTGATTGTCTTGTATTCAACTTCCATTACTACAATATGCTTCTGCAGATTGCTTGTATGAAAAAGTACAAGTCTTAGTGAGGCTTCTGATTATTCAACGGGAATAATTGCTCATCTGTACATGAAGAGAGTTGTGGTTCAGTTTTTTTAACAAAATCCCCTCTCTGATCAATGACAGAATACTTGCTTTCACAGCAAAGATATATGGTTTATGACTGAGGAGGTTGGCACTGGGACAAGAGGAACTGAGGGAATGGATTGTCTTGATCATTCAGATGGCAAAATAGTGAGACTGGTGTGCTGGCTTGCTTTTGTGCCCACTGCAAATCCTCATCGTTTTAAGAACACAGGGTGCAGGAATGGAATAGCTCAACTAGAACAGGGAAAGGAAAAGTTAAAGGCATGGTAAAATAGATGTGGTAGAAAAGAATGCAGTGCCTGTCCTACCTGATTTTTTAAGTGCACAGCAATTGTTACACCAAGGTGTGTGCTGCTCCAGTAAAGAACATTCTGGGGAGTAGAAATTCATACGGCTTACAGCACACACTTCCTGAGATTGAGAAGAGAGTCCTGCTTCCCTAAGAATGTATCTGTGTTGTACCTGGGAGCACTTCCAAGCAGCTGGGTCAGGACATACGTCCTGGATGCATCCTTCTGCTATTACTGGTATTGCATGGTATGATATACACCTAGACAAGTGTTCACCCCTTCCATGATTAGCATCCGTGTCATACCGTGATGCTTACTAGTCTGTGGGTGGGTTTGGGGGTTTTTTCTTGTACAGTTGTGCTGACAGCCTTGATTCTCTACTGTACAGAAACTGCTGGATACGGGAAGGATTATCCAAGTTAGTTTCTATGGAAACTCAGACATTTTTGTATTGAAAAGCTCATGGCTGTCAGTTACATCTCTGTGAAGAGGTGTCTTATGCAGCTAGTAATATTTTCTTGTGCATCAGCCATGCCAAAAATAAACTAGAGCTTGCTGGTGTCGGGTATCCAAATCTGTTTAGCTTACTGCCATATGGACAGGTGGTTCAAGCTTGGGGGTCCCATGCTTTCTTAGAATTGTGGAATAAGTTATGCTGGAAAGAAATTTGGCAGGTCTCTAGTCCAATCTCCTGCTTGAAACACGGAAAACTTCAAAATAGGGTCAGGATGCTGAGAGCCTTGTCTAGTCAAGTGCAGAACATCCATCCTTGTCAATAATCATAAAATTGAGTGCTTAACCATAAAATCTGTTTTCTTCTGTATCCTGCCTGAATTTGTTTTCCTGCAATCTGTGACACTTGCCTCTCATCCTTGGTACTGTGCACCACAAAGAAGAGTTCGGGTCTGTTTTCCTGTACCTGTTAGATAGCTTAAAAAAATGGCAACTGGTTCTCCCTTTAGCCTTTCTTCTCTCTATTGAACAAACCCAGCCTTCTTGCCTTGCGTGCTCTTGGATCTCCTTGTATGCGCTCCCACTCTGTTGTGGTAGTCCTCCACAGAACTTGTAGGGGTTTTTTTCAGCATGGAGCTCAAAGCTGGGCATAGTATTCAGATCTTCTGGGCTTAGAAGTGCTGAATAGATTAGGAAATAATAATTTCCCATGACCTGCTGGCTATGCTTTTGCTAACACAGACTGGTATGAAGCTGGCCCCTGTTGGAGGAATCATATTCAACTTGCTGTTCATCAGGACCCCCAGACTCTCTTCTTGCAAAGGTGACTTTGATCCAGGCTTGTGTCCAACCTGCTCTGATATATAGAGTTACTCTGACCCAGGGCCATGACTTCACTTCTGCTGTTGAAATGTATGCAGTTCCTCTTGGTCCATTCTTAAAGGTTGCTGATGTCCCTCAGTTGCAGCTCTGCCCTCTTTCTTGCAGGCCATCTTCTTCATAGCTTTTTTCTAATACAGAGCAACCAGTATGGCATGCTGATTGTGATCCAGATCAGACCCTTAAAGGCCTTAGTGCATTGAAAGAAGTTTAAAATCTGTGCCCTAAGGCTTCCCACACCTTCATCTCTACCTAGGGAGTAATATGAATTAGGCTCTAAGCCAGGTTTCAGCTGAAAGCCTGACAAGAAGACAAGATACAAGACTAGAGCAAAATGCTGGTTATGCTGACTCTCAGGGGTTGCAAATGCAAATAGGCAGAACCTGGCTATGTACCAGAATTTTAACAGGACAGAGGGCACACAAACAAATAGATCAACTAGTCAGAGAGTGTGCAGAATGGGGACGCAGTTGGGTGCCTGCCAAAATAGTTCAGAAAACAGATGTGATGCCACAAACAATGTAAATTGAAAAGCAAAACTATTGTTCATTCTAACTGGAGTGCAAATACTAGAATTCTCCAACTATATAATAATTTGTAATGGGCACTTGTAAGACTGTTTGCTACATAGAAGACAATTGAGTACACCATTATGTGTAGACAAGACTTAAGCCAGTTTTATGCTTTTTGAAGAAAGGGTAAGGGAAGAGGGGTGAAGGAAAAACAGAAGCTTTGCTCAACAATGCTTCTTTCAGAATTATCTTTCTATGCATTCACAACTGTGCAAAAAAAAAAATCTTTCTGAAATATCACTTCACTTGAGGAACCTTCTACAAATATGGGAAGCAACCCAAACAACTGCTTTTGACCAAGGTCCCCACAAAAAGAAAGAAACAAAGACATCTGGTAGTATAAAATATCTCAACATTAGTTTTGAACACTAAGTGATGAGATGCTTTTGCTAGGTCTATACAGAGCATCTTTCTTTGACACTAATGGAAATATGCAAGCACATCACTCTGGGCTGAATTTCTGACCCATTTTCAGTTTCTAGCATTAGTAGTATACTTGAAGTGTGGGAGGAAACCAAAAGGTGTGGTTTGGGGAACAGCTTTTGCAAACTATGCTGTCTATCAAAATTTGGCATTTGTTCCTTTCAGAAGCAAACACCTGTTGTTTTGGGGTTTTTTTCCCAAGCCTATTAAAAGTTATTGCTAAGAAATATCGAGAATAAAACATCTGTACATGGCAAAACTCCCATGAAATGTATCTATATTTAAATATATAAACATTTAAAACTATTTTTTCTCCATTAACAGTAGCATAACCTAAAGAGTATGAGCCTTATCCATGAGTAATTTGCAACCTACCTACATTCATAGAATTGTAAAGTTTTCTGTGGTGTATTTTTTGGAGGTGGCCTGTGGCCCAAATGCTGCCAAGAAATTGCAGTAAAGAAAATGAAAATTCAGTGCAGTGCTAAAATACTTGCTCTTATGGCTTCATCATCTTTCAAGAGTTTGATTATCCATTACTACTTTTTTTTTCCCTCATTCCTAATCTTGAAACAAGATCTGCTTTTTGTCTCAGTCTTCAGTAGTCATGTTCTGGTTTGGGTGGAGTGGCTGCTTGTGTTTGAAGGAAGACGTGTTAACCAACTACATTCAGGTGTACCTACTTACCCTAAAAACAAATGGCCTACCTTTAAGGCTCCAGCTTTTTCCAAAATCGGCAGGTAGTGTTTAGTTCTATGTCCAGATAGAACTAGTAAATCTGTGACAAATGTGTTCTTTTGACAGAATTGTTTATCTCAAGAACTCTTAGAAAGCCCCTCAAAAATCCTAAAGTCTTTTCCATAATAAGAACACCACCACCTTTTTTAATGAAGGCTCTACAGGATTAATCTAAGTAATAACTATGCCAAAAGTGACAGTTTATAAATTAGCCAATGGTACATATTCTATGAAACTTGACGGAGTCAGCTAGTTACCAAAACTTCAACCTGCTTTGTTGAACTGCTTAAACCACATAATGAATTTTTTAATAGTCTAAAATACAAGGAGGAAAAAAAATTAGACAGTAATTAATTCTGTGCCTAATACAACAATTAAGTGACCTGGAAGAGCACAAAGAGCTCTTTCAGCATGTACCAGCTGATTTATTTATCAAACATTAATTCATTTATATTATTCGCCACATTAATTTCATTTTTCATTCCTAAAGGCATTGGTGTGGGGTTCCCACCCCCCGTGACTTCTACGCTTCCCCATCAGGAACACAAAATGAGCAGTTTTCTCCACAGGGGGAAGCTACCTGGAGTTGCACATCACTAAAAGAGACAGCCTGACTCTAGACTAACCCTGTGATGAAGAGGTGAAAGCCGGTTCAACCTTGCTTCTGGCTGGACTTTCTCTTCCCCTATTGACGAAGCCTTTGCAGGTCCTGACACCCAATATCCTCCCACTTGCTCATCCCACCTCCCGTGCGGGCAGCCTAGGTGAGGCAGCTTTGGGCAGGGACGTGGGTCTTGGCCTCGACCTTGCCAAGGCATCCTCGGGGGCTTCATGCAGGCATCGGGGCCTTGGCTTCAGCAGCCGTGGCCTGGTTGGAGTGGCCTCGGTGGCTTCCTCTGGGCGGCAGGGCCTTGGCGAGGGGCTGCCTGGGCCTCGCTGGGACGCGGGCG